TCCAGCTACTCCATCTCCCAGAAGGGATCCTTTTATAGGAGAACACACAGAAGAGATACTTCTAGAATTTGGCTTTACCAAGGAAGAGATTGCTAAACTTCACTCTGAAAAAGTAATTGAATTCAATAAGCCAAAAGCAAATTTATAATATCTAGCTATGCAAATCAGAAAAGTTTCAGACTGTCCCCATATGATTTTATGCATTAAAGTTGGAATTACATGAAGAAATGTTAATGTAGCACCACTTTTTCAGGGCCGGGGGTAGAGGGGTAGGGTGTCACTGTTAAATTAATGCATTAATTGAGGACTAAATGTACAAACTGTATTCCTAATTGGATTAGAATGCCTACCGAATGTTACCTTTGAAATTTTGTCCTGGGGGTGTTTGTTTTGAAAAGATCTGCAATATTTGCTTGTTATAATGGTTTACGTAATTTTTAATGTTTCCTTCAATAAGTGTATTATAGGAAATGTGTGGTTGTTTTAATCCTTGTGTTTTTAATATATGTTATAATTAGCTGAAGGCAATGATTTTTATAAAATACTGTTATACTTCATAAAGAGGTTGCTGTGTTGTTCATTTATAAATTTGAGAGAGAGCTCTTTTGCCTGTATTTTCACAGTATTGATATAAAATTAATTTGCATTCTCCTCTCAGAATATACATTAAAATACCATTATTTTGGCATGATCTGCTTATAGTGGTATATGACAGAGCAACTGTATATAAAGCCTGGCTACCTTTCTATTGTACTGTTAGTCCCATGACTGTATTACATTTGGAGTCTTAATTTGTCTGGAAAAATTGCCCTGGGTTGAAAATTGATATATTAAAGTGTCTGCCAATAAGCAACCCTTTCCCCCTATTCTGAAAAAAATGGAAAATAGGTGTAACCGTATGAGTAATAAACAATAAGTTACCGCATATAGACCATAGTCTCTTTCAAAGTTAAAGTGGCCATTTGAAACCTTCTGACACTTGAAACATTCTGGCATGTCTTATTCTAAGTACAGTATAAATAAAGCAAATAGTTACAACAATAGTTATTGCATAGATGCCACAACCTCTCTTAAATTGGTAACTTTATGCATTTTTTCCAAAAGCAGTTAGATCACATGATGCACTGATTGTCTGACTTTAAAAAGCTAACCAAAAAACACAATTCAAAACCATTTGCATTCTAGGAGCAGATACATTGTTTCAATGCCTCTGCACCTAGAATGCAAATGGTTTTGAACCTTTATTTGTTTTAAAGCCAGACAGCGCATCATGTGGTCTAGTTGCTTTAACTTTAAAAAAGACTGTGGTATCTATGAGGAATTATTGTCGTAACTATTTTATTTATTTATACTTGGAATAGGACACATCAGAATGTTTTAGTGAGAGCAATTAAGGTCTCACTGAGAGTGTTTGCTCTTTTAGGATTATATTCAGTATTTACTAAAACTGAGGTATACTGTAACTCATCTGGCCTCTGTGTAGGCAATATTACTGCTGTGAAATTTTTTTTTCTTATGGTACTTAATGGCTGCATGGGCTTGGGAAAACTTTTATAAACACAGGGTTATGATCAAATAAATTAGACAAATATGTGACAAAAGATACATTGGGTCACTGGATGATAACAATCATATCTTCCACATTTTGGAAGATTTTTTTTGTCTGAAATTGTCCTAATCCATATCCATGATCAAATAATAATTTACTCTAGTTCAGATCCTTCTGGTCAAGCCAGGGAATTATAAATGTGATCAAGTCGGGGAAACAATCTATGGTGTATATTTAGGACCTGATCCAAACTCACTGAAGTCAATGAAAAGACTCACATTGACTTCACTGGATTTTGGAACAGATCCCTAATTCAGGTATATAACCTGATCAGTGGTGTTGATATATCAAGTACAGATTTTTACAGAAACTTTCAGTTTTCACTTCAGACCTATTACTTTTTCATGTAAAAAGTTTTTCTTTAGACTCTCTTTCAATAAATTGAGAGATTCTGAAGCACCTTCATCTTTGATTTCTTAGCACCAACAAAAATGTCTCCCTTGATTTAGTTCTGCACGAAATGGATGCAAAAATAAGCCCCAGACATCTATCTTTTGGCAGATCTTTGCTAGGCGTTGTATCGCTTATACTTTTCCACCATTGTAGCAACAAGGAGCAATGGTCTCAAGTTGCAGTGGGGGAGGTCTAGGTTGGATATTAGAAAAAACTATTTCACTAGGAGGGTGGTAAAGCACTGGAATGGGTTACCCAGGGAGGTGGTGGAACCTCCATCCTTAGAGGTTTTTAAGGCCCGGCTTGACAAAGCCCTGGCTGGGATGATTTAGTTGGTATTGGTCCTGGTTTGAGCAGGGGGTTGGACTGGATGACCTCCTGAGGTCTCTTCCAACTCTAATCTTCTATGATTCTATGATCATACTATTACAGACAGACAGACAGTAGAAACAAAACATCTATCCTCAACTATCTATAAAGAGTTGCACTGACAAAATATTCCAGGTCTTTCCTGTCCCACAGTTCAATTTATTTGTTACCTGTGCTGACCTAGTTTATAGTTGAATGGTGTGGGTTTCTGTGTTTTAATTGGCGGGGGGGGGGAAATGGGAGAGTTAATTACTCTAAAAGTGGGAGCACAGCTTATTGCAAGACTGTACTCAAAGAGTAGTTATCAATGGATTGCTGTTAAATGGGGAGGTGGTATCTAGGGGGCCCCACAACGGTCAGTTTTGGGTCTGATACTAGTGAATAGTTTCATTATGACTTAGATAATGGAGTGGAGCATATGCTTATACAATTTGTGGATGCCACCAAGATGGGAGGGCTTGCAAGCACTTCGGAGGACAGGATTAGAATTCAAAACAACGTTGACAAATTGGAGAATTGGTCTGAAATCAACAAGATGAAATTCAGTAAAGACAAATGCAAAGTACTGCACTTAGGGAGGTAAAATTAAATGTATATCTACAAAAATTGGGAGTAACTGGCTAGGTGGAAGTACTGCTGAAAAGGGTCTGTGGGTTATAGTGCATCACATTGAATATGAATCAACAACGTGATGAAGTTGCAAAAACGGTTAATATGATTCTGGGGTGTATTAAGAGGAGTGTTGTATGTAAGACCCGGGATGTAATTGTCCCACTCCACTGGGCACTGCTGAGGCATCAACTGGTGTACAATTCTGGGTGCCACACTTCAGGAAATATTTGAACAAATTAGATAGAGTCCAGAGGAGAGCAACAAAAATGATCAAAGGTTTAGAAAACCTGACCTATGAGAATTTTTTTTAAAAAGGGCATGTTTAGACTTGAGAAAAGAAGACTGAGGGGGGATCTGATAAATCTTCAAATATGTTAAAGGCTTTTACAAAGAGGATGGTGATCAGTTGTTCTCCATGTCCACTGATGGTAGGACAAGAAGTAATGGGCTTAATCTGCAGCAAAGGAGATTAAGGTAAGGTTAAGAAAAACTTTCCTAGCAACAAGTTTCCAACTAGGAGTAGTTAAGCTCTGGACTAGGCTTTCCAGGGAGATTGTGGAATCCCCACCACGGGAGGTTTTTAAGAACAAGTTGGACAAACACCTGTCATGCATGGTCTAGATCTAGATTCTCAAACTGGGGGTCAGGACCCCTCAGGGGGTCGCAAGGTTATTACATGGGGGGTCGTGAGCTGTCAGCCTCCAACCCAAACCCCACTTTGCCTCCAGCATTTATAATGGTGTTAAATATATTTAAAAGTATTTTTAATTTATAAGGGGGGGGGTCGCACTCAGAGGGTCACCAGTACCCCTTTGAGAACCACCGCTCTGGATTCATTTGATCCTGCCTCAGTGCAGGGGGCTAAACTTGATGATCTCTTGAGGTCCCTTCCAGCCCTACATTTCTATGATTAATTTATCCTGTATTTGGTAGCTCAAGTAGCTCTTTCACTTCTAGTGATCTTGTAACAATAATTAGTACAAAATATGCAGATAGAAGTGTGATTTCCCCCCCCACACACACAGTTGACAGAGTTCCTATTGTGTACTCAGTACAAGAAGTATGGTCTTTGCCCTAAATGATTATTTAAATGCAAAACGTAAGCAAATATGAATGGTGGAATATCCCTTCAGTGTATAATCTCTGATCAGTAACAGGTAAGGAAACTTTAGAAATGACTTTTCTTTCCCTTTAGAGAGCAAGGCCTTGTGGTTAAAGCACAGAACTTGAAATCAAGGGATCTGGATTCTGTTTCCCAGCTCTGGCACTTCAAGTTATGAGCCAGTGATAATACTGCACTGGCGTATTGGGAGGGTTAATTCATTTATCTTTGTAAAGTGCTTTGAAGTCCTACCAGGAAAGGTAATTTCTGGAGCAAATCTCCCTCCTCCTCCTCCTCCTCTGTGGGTGCTGAGGTCCCCTAGGCAGCAGAACCTGTGTGGATCATTGAAAGCCAGGGGAGTGCAAGCTTTGGGGAGGGCTGTGCAGGACATGCACAATACCTATCTGACACAGAGCTCTGTTCTGTAGCAGTTCTCTGTCAAAGGAACAGTGGAGATGGCTCTGTGGATCCTTCTTCTCTGGATCTCTGGAGGTGGCATGTTCGGCCCATAGTAGTGTAAGTGACTTTACAGCTATTCAGCAGTCTGGGAGAAGCATTTTTGCTTCCCACTATCATGGAGAATGAGCACGCAACCCAGTATTCAGGCTGTTTGCTAAGTGGAAGGATGTGGGCCTACATGCTTAGTATTATAATTGCCTTATAGCAGTAAGAGTAGTTTTGTTTTCAAGCCAAACCTATGCCCCAGCCCACGAGACATGGGCACCCATTTTCTCTACTTTCCCCGGAAAGATAATCCTTCACTCATGGATAGTTGGGAGCTCTCCAGATAGCCAGGAGCTCAGTTCTGCTAATCTTCATATACACTTCCCCACCCCCTCCTTTCCTAACTTGTGATCTCAGCGGCAGGAAAGTATGTGAGCCCCTCCTCCAGCCCAGACCTTTCCCTCTCAGCATGTGAGCCAGGCCCCCTGTCATCCAGAGCTAGAACAAACCTTCTCTGAGCCACTTACAGGAACATCAGGCTTAGCTAGTCCAATGACTTTAACGAAACAGGATTTCAGTGCAGGACTTCCACCACCATCTGAGCTGGGCATTGCTGGCATGGACAGCAGCAGAGGGAAGGAAAAAGCTGTGTTGGAATCCTTGGCAGGAGGAGACGCCTTTGGATCAGTGGAGCCTGTCAAAAAGCCCTCGGGAAGGCTGATTATGCACAGCATGGCCATGCTCGGCCGGGAGTTCTGCTATGCGGTGGAGGCTGCCTTTGTCACCCCGGTGCTGCTCAGTGTGGGGCTGCCCAAGAGCCTCTACAGCCTGGTGTGGCTCATCAGCCCCATCCTGGGCTTTGTGCTGCAGCCGGTGGTGGGATCAGCCAGTGACCACTGCACCTCTGGCTGGGGCAAGCGGCGCCCTTACATCCTGGCTCTGGGCATTCTGATGTTGCTGGGTATGGCTTTGTACCTCAATGGGGACATGATGGTCTCAGGTGAGTGAGCTGCACGTGCTGAGCTAATAGACAAAGCTCATCCTGCTTCTTGAACCAGAAAGAAAAGAGGGTTTTTTTGTCTGTAAATAAAGGTGAGAACAGGGACATCACATTACTTGGTCTCACTGAAAGAGCTGGGGAACAACATGATCTTTTCCAGGTTCCACCCTAATGCTGCCTGTTATTTGTCAGATTGTTCTGTCCTCTGTATGTGCGAGTACAATTTATTGTATGTTGGTGCAGTTGCTTCAAAGTTCATCTAAGTAATGTCCAGGCCCAGACAGGTTTAAAGAGCTAACACATGACTCGTTTAATTTGACAGTAGATTTTATTTGCATGGTTCAAATCTGGTATCTGCAACTGAATAAGTATTGCCCTTCCCCACCTCCCTGCTCCAAAACCTCTAAACCAGGGTTGGTGTTCATAGCAAAGAAAGTAATTATTCATGCATGTGC